TTGGCTACCATCTGCATGCCTTGCACTGGGGATTGGGCCCACAACCTGGGCATGTGCCCTGACTGGGAATCGAACCTGTGACCTCCTGGTGCACGGGTAGACGCTCAACCACTGAGCCACACCAGCTGGGCTTGAAGCACAAAATGTTACATTTTGATGAGGTCCAGCTTCTCAATTTTTTGTTTTATCATTTGTATTTTTGTTTTTATATCTGGGAAAACATTGCTTAACCCAAAGTCACTAAGATTTGCTTCGATGTTTTCATCTAAGAGCTTTATAGTTTTAGCTCTTACATTTGGATTTATGATCCACTTTGTGTATATTTCTTGTATGGTGTGGGGTGGGGGTCCAACTTCATTGTTTTGTTTTGTATGTGGATATGTAGCTGTTACAGCACCTTTTGTAAAAGATTATTTTTTTCCCCATTGAATGATCTTGGCACCTTTGTTGAAAATCTATTATAAATGTTAAGATTTACTTCTAGACTCAATTTTATTGCATTGATATGCGCATGTGTGTGTGTGTGTGTGTGTGTATCCTTATTCTGTTGTTCATTTCTAATTTAATTCTTTTGTGGTAGTAGAGTAAACTTAGTTTGATTTAAATCCTTTTCAATTTATTGATTCATTTTATTGCATAGTATATGATTTGTGCTGGAGAGTTTTCAATGTGTACTTGAAAAGAATGTATATTTTTCTCTCGTTGGGTGGCACCTTTGTTGAAAGGGTGGCAGTTAGGTCAAGTTTGTTGATAGTACTGTCTAAGTTTTCCAGATTTCTTGCTAGTTCTCTGTCTAGTTCTCTCCATTATTAATAGTGGGGTATTAAAATCTTCTGCTGTTATTACTGAATTGCCTACTTCTTCAGTCTTGTCAGCTTTAATTTAATGTATTTTGGGGCTGTGTTGTTAGAGGTATATAATTCTTATATTGTCCTGATGAATTAATCTTTTCATACTTATAAAATACTTATAAAATGTCCCTCTTTGTCTCTAGTAACATTTTTTTTTGTCTTAAGGTTGTTTTTTTTAAAGACTGAGGGAACACTCCTTTCCCAATCCCTCTTATCTTAGGCTTCTTATCCTATAGTTTGGAGAACCTGGTGACCAAACATGTTAGAATTATACCAGAGCAGCACTACTTGCCCCTCTATTTTTATATTACGGTTCTGAGTAAGATTTCATTTTTTTAAGAGGTTCTGCAGTTACTTAAATTCTCTTATTTTACTTATTTCTGTCTTTTTAGAAGTCGCTTTGTCTTATGGATCTCTGCTTTTGAGGTTTCAGGATAAGTGACCTGAAGTGAAGTGAAGTGAATAATATTATTCTTAAGAATGTCTCACCTAAAATGTTAACATTTGGGGAATTTGAGTGAAAGGTATATTGGATTCATTGTATACTTTTTCCCCTAGTCCAAATTGTGTCAAAGTAAGTTAAAGAAAACAATCCCTACCTAAGTGAGGCATTATTAATTACTTTTTCTTACTTGCAGGTAATACTGGTCTTATTCAGTGACTTTTGAAATATATTGATTTGGCAATGTAACCTCATAAAGTGGTTCATGAGTCCTTAGTTTGCAGTCACACACCATTTAACAACAGGAATATGTTCTGAGAAATGCGTTGTTAGGCAATTTCATCTACGTGAACATCATAGAGTGTACATACACAAACCTAAATGGTATAGCCTACTAGACACCTAGGCTATATGATGTATGTGGTCCATCTTTGACAAAAAATGTCATTATGTGATATGTAACTGTAATTCTTATCTCTGTTATTAACACAGCTATGTCCAAGTAGTGTTACCTGATAGGCAGATTTCTGGGAATTATCATAAATTCTTCCTTTCCCCTCACAACCATATTCATTAAGGCAATAAATCTTGAATTTAGAACTTCCCTTAATGTATCTTATTTTTGTTGTTAATCCTCATCTGGGGATATTTTTTCCATTGACTTTTAGAGAGAGTGGAAGGGAAGGGGGAGAGAGAGAGAGAGAGAGAGAGAAACATTGATGTGAAAGAGACACATTGATTGTTTGCCTCCAGCATGTGCCCTCACCAGGACCTGGAATCAAAACTGCAATCCAGGTATGTGCCCTGACTGGGAATCAAACCCAGGACCTTTTGGTACCCAGGTCAGTGCTCTAATCACTGAGCAACACCAGCCAGGGCTCCTTTAATGTACGTATCTTGACTCTATTCCTCTTGCCAATATTTTCATTCAAACCTCAGTATCTTTTTCCTGGATTATTGCAGTTGATTTCTAACTGGTCTTATTTTATATTTTATAGAATTCCTTGGTGACTATCTGCCTCTCTGTCCTCATCTACCTGTTTCTAATATGTCAGTAAACTGTTCATGGTACCATTCATACACTTAATCCATGCTGTTTCATGACTTTGCTTGTAATGTTCCCTCTGCTCGGATCAGCTAATTTTCTTTCTTTGAAACTCAGTTCCAGCATCTTTTCCAGTAAACCTTCTTTAGGATGTCTGACTTCATTCTTTTACATATAGATATCCAGTTGTCCCAGCACCATTTGTTGAAAAGAGTGTTCTTTCCCAATTGAAATTGGCACTCTCATTGAAAATCAGTTCACTATAAATATGTGGGTTTATTTCTGGAATCTCTACTTTCATTCCATTTTTTTGATACATCTATCCTTATGCCAGTACCGCACTGTGTTAATACTGTAGCTTTGTGGTAGGTTTTAAAATTGGGAAGCGTGAGTCCTCCAACCTTGTTCTTTTTCAAGATTGTTTTGGCTTTGACTGTTCTAGGTCCCTTGAAGTTTTATGAGTTTTAGGATCAGCTTGTTAATTTCTCCAAAGAAACTAGCTGGGATGTTGATAGGAATTGTGTTGAATATGTAGAACAACTTGGGGTATTTCTCCCCATTTTGTTTGTTTTAGTTAAGGGTTGTTATTCTCAGTTTTTCAAATGTCATATTTCTGTGTATTTTTTTTGTTGTGACAAATTGTGCCTTCTAAGGCGCATAACATAATAATGGGTATACAGTTTATAGTGAGAAGAGAACAAATTTCTTATTGGTAGTTTGACCATTCATTTGAAAACCTTTTCCTTAAACAATCATATGCTTTATAGAATGGTCCCCAGAATATTTTGCTGTACACCTGAAACTAATACAAAATAATATTGAATGTAAACTGTAATTGAAAAATAAAATTTAAGAAACAAAAACGTTTTTCTTATATGTTCCACATACTTCCACATGTTCTTTGTGAAAAGCTTGAGAAAATACAGAAAAGTGTCTGGCCAGTGTGGCTCAGTGGATTGAGCATTGTCCCATGGACTGAGAGGTCCCTGTTCGATTTCTGGTCAGGCCACATGCCTGGGTTGCGGGCTCAATCCCTGGTGGGGGGCATGCAGGAGGCAGCTGATCGATGTTTCTCTCTCTCTCTCTCTCCCTTCCTCTCTAAAAAAAAAAATCAATAAAAAAAAGAAAATACAGAAAAGCAGAAAGAAAAGAAAGTCCATAATTACGCCATTCAGAATAAATCTTGTGTGTACATGTATGTATGTATGTATGTATGTATGAAAGCTTGTTGTATATATTTTGTTTAACTATATAATATATAGAGAATGTCTAAGGCAAGTTCCTCTAAGTAGAATTACTTGTTCAAGAGGATGCATTTTTAAAATTTTTTAAATTGATTTTAGAGAGGGGAGGGGAAGAGAAACGTATCAGTTGCCTCCTGTATGCCCCCTACTGAGGATCAAGCCCGCAACCCAGGCATGTGCCCTGACTGGAAATCAAACTGGCGACCTTCCTGTGTATAGGAGGATGCTCAACCAACTGAGCCACACCAGCCAGGGCAAGAAGATGCATATTTTAAAGTCTTTCTTAAATGATTTAGTATAAGTGTGTTACATTTTTAGTGTAGTGTGTTAATATTTTACAGTAGTTTCTGCTAAAATCTGAGGCAAGCTCATAAACAAGTATTTGTGTTATTCAAAACTACTATTGGATGTTCATAGCAGCATTATTCTTAGTAGTTAAAGGTGGAAACAACTCAATCCATTGACCAGATGAATGGATAAACAAAATGTGGTAAATATATAAATGTAATATTGTTCAACCTGAAAAAGGAATGAAATTCTGATACATGTTACAAATTAGTGGACCTTGCAAACATTATGTTGAATGAAATAAGCCAGACACAAAAGGGCAAATACTGTATGATTTCACTTATATGAAATATCTTAGAATAAATAAATTTATAGATACAGAAAGTAGGGTAGAGATTATTAGAGACTGGGGAGATGAAGAGTTATTGTTTAATGGATACAGAATTTCAGTTTGGGATGATGGAGAGTTCTGAAAATAGATCATGGTGATGATTTTGCAACATTGTATATATACTTAAAGACACTGAATTGTACACTTAAAAATGGTTAAAATAGTAACTTTGATAGTAAGTATATTTAACCACAATAAAAAAAAACTACTATTGGATTAATTCCAGAATTTTAGACAAGAACCACTTACTGAGAAGTTATGTGCCTGTTTTACTTATTGTATGTGTTACCTTGTACCCAAGTGAACTCAGGGTTTAGATACTTGTTTTAAATATGGATGGGTTGATAGATGGGACTGAGAACTAGGTTCCTAACCAACATTCATTCATTCAGTATGAAGACTTACTGAGCTATGTATACCAAGTAGCCTGTTAGGCACGGAGAGCTACAGTGGTAAACAAGATAAGACACAGTCCCTGGAGTCTGCTGATTGCTAAGCTTGGACAAAAAAAAAGAACAAACTTCTTATTAAGAAAAAATGGATTAAACAATCAGGTGACTTGTTTTCTCCTTAATGATTTCCTTTGTGAGGTGATTTTAAAATATCATTTTTTCCCCTTCAGGTTACTATGGAAACATGACCACATAAAAAGGAAGCCCATTCTGATAATACTGATTCTTGAGATGTAACTGGACTGAAGAGTAGAACAGGAAAATTTTTAGTGCCAACCCTAGTTACAATGGCTACTGATTCAGGGGAGCCAGCTAGCACAGAAGATTCTGAGAAACCTGATGGAGTTTCATTGGAAAACAGAGTTCATCAGATGGCAGCAACTTTGACAGTGGAAGCTAGACTAAAGGAAAAAGACAGTACCTTCTCTGCTTCTGGAGAAACTATAGAAAGGAAGAGATTCTTCCGAAAGAGTGTTGATGACAAAGTTATCGAATCTTCCTCCAAAGATGAGAAAACAAAGACTGCAACCAATATTCCAAGTGTAGAAAAGCTTTCTACAAATGTGCTAAGAGGTGAACAAGATGTTAAATACTCACAATGTTCAAAGGCAACTTCTGAATCCTTAAAAGATTGTTTGAAGGAGAAAAATGAAAAGGAAATGGAAGAAGAAGCAGAAATGAAGGCTGTAGCTACTTCTCCTAGTGGCAGGTTCCTGAAATTTGACATAGAGCTGGGAAGAGGAGCGTTTAAAACAGTATATAAAGGACTGGACACTGAAACATGGGTTGAGGTTGCTTGGTGTGAGCTACAGGTAGGTATATAATCTCCTTGATTTTAATAAATTACAATTTTAGTTGACCTGGTCTTCTGAGTGATCCAGGATTAAAATGCATCATAGATTAAAATAAAATTAAGCACTTGTCCCCCACCTCCCTGAAATTATGTTTCTTTCCTAGATCCTCTTAAGAACTCATGCCAACTTTTTTCTCTTCTGTTGCTTTCCCCTCTGTTTTGAGGGGGGGAACTATTGTGGCTTTCTTTTGGAAAACACCCTTAATTTATTAAAGTTAGGAAATTCCTGAAACTCTTAACATCTCATTTTGAAAAATTTTACTAAATTTATGCCTTATGTGCTCTGGCAGGTTTCGCTCAGTGGTTAGAGCGTTGACCCGTGGACCAGGGAGTCCCAGGTTTGGTTCCCGCTAAGGGCACGTACCTCAGTTGCAGTCCGTTCCTGGCCCCAGTTGGGGTCATGTGGGTGGCAACCAGTCGATGTGTCTCATCGATGTTTCTCTCTCTTCCTCCCTCTCTCCCTCCCACTCTGAAAATAAATGCAAAAAAATGTCCTCAGGTGAGGATAAAAAAAAAAATGCATGCCTTATGAGTTGATTGTTATAATAAGTACTTGAGACTGTGATATGATAGACATATATTCTGTGTGATATCTCCCTGTTCTCTTTTGTTCAACACATTTTTTTGGGTTCATGTAGATTTTTTAGAACAGGAAATGGTTTTCTTAATTCTTTGAGGACTTCTATTAATATGCCACCCCCATGCCTTTGTGTTTACATCAAAGAGGATCTCTGGAAGAAATAATCAGCAGAATCTGCTGAGGTAAGTCATATGAAATGTGTTTAGAAAAGAGAAAGGAAAGCAATAGGACTGAGGTTGAATCACCTAAGATTTGGTTCCATAATAAATGTGTATGTAGATTTCTTACTAATGAATGACTAAATAGGGGTCGAGTATCATAGAAAGAGTTATAATAAGAATAGTTTCAGACAGATGTGGGTCAAATATAAGGAAAACCTTTGTGACCTCAATCATGTTATGAGAAGTGGTCAGTATTCACATAAGATACTTAACATTAACATAGAATAAAGCCATTAGTTCAAGACTTGTTGTTGTTCAAATTCCAGTGGTCTCTGTGCCTGTGAGTGTGTATGATTTCACCCATTCTGAATATGCTGTATGTTGCCATTTAGATAGGTTGAAATTTAGTGCAAGTCCCTACATTTCTAGGAAGCTTTTTTGTTTACACCAAGTTTTCCAAACTTGACTCTCTGTAAAAGTCACTGCTTCTTATGCATATTCCGGAGCTTATGGTCAGAGACTCAAATTTAATAAGTTTAGGTGGGATGCAAGATAGCAATTTTAATAGGCTTTCAGGTGCTTTGAATGTAGGCAGTCCCTTGATGACTGTTTGAAATTCATATTACTTAGCAGTAGAGCCATTCTAGTAGTTCTTGAAAAGTATGTGCAAAAAAGGAAGGAAGGAAAGGAGGGAGGGAGAAAAAGAGAAACGTGTGTGCAGGTATGGGGTTTGCTTGATATTCTTCTCATCCCTTCTTTATCCTTTAGGAATTTTATAGGGTCTGTGTCAGAGTAGAAATATTAGATAATGTGTAGAAACAAACATCAAAACCACCTGAAATTCTACTACTTTGAGGATGCTTTAAACAATTTAGTATATCTTTCAGATACTTAGTATATCCCTTTTTTTTGCATAAATGCATATATGACTTTTTGTACATTTTCTCCTCCACCAAATGGAATCAAACTATAAGCTTTTACAAAACCTTTTTTAAGCTTATCACTAAAATCTTTTCATTACTAGTAATTGTACATTTACATTATTATTTTATTAGATGCCCTTATAAGTTATTTAACCAGTCCTCTATTATTGCACATCTAGATTTTTCTCCAATATTTTAACATTATAACCATGGTTGTAGTCAACATCCTTGTATGTATATAGGAAATTATATAAATGTTAGTTTCACCTCTGCATCATGACATTGGTAACACTCATCTCTTAGTGATACTCTGTAAATGGGGGAGATAATGTCCATTCCCTTGGGAGTAGGCTACATAGTAAAGATAGGTCAAGTGTTTGCAAATTGTACACTCTAGCTATGCTAAAGGATGTTTAGGTAAAAGTTGAACAAAATATTCTAGTTGTAGAACTTGCCTCCTATCATTCACCTGTGGGAAGATTGTAGGATCCCATAAGGTCTTACTACACAAGGTGTGGTCCCTGAACCAGCAGCATGGATGTCACCTAGGAGCGTGTTGGAATTGCATGTTCCTAGGCCTCATTCCAGACCTACTGAATGAGAATCTGCCTCAGTAACATCTGCAGGTGGTTTGCATTTACAGAGAGTTTGAAAAGCACTGAAATAAGGGTCTAGTTCCAAGAACTAGCTGAATCAGGGGAGGAATTCCCTGAGTACACTAACATGAGCTTTATATTTTGTCATATATACGGATTCCTGACACTCACTCCAGACTTTCCAAATCAAAATCTCCAGGGGATGGGACCCAGAAACTTGTTTTTAAAAAGTTCCCCAGGTAATTGAATACATAGCCAGATTTGGAACTCCTCTCTTATGTGCAGCAAATGTTGTAAATTATATAAAGTACATTTTAATGTATACAGAGAACAACAATTGCAATTTTCTATTATGAAAGGAATGTCAGAATTAGTGGACTTAGTTGATAAAATTTTTGGATATCATTTCATTTTCTGTATATTTGGTACTAAGAAAAACCAGCATTTAGAATACCAGAAAAATAAGGGCATAACCTTATTTTTTGTAATCCTCAACCAAGGATATGCTTATTGATTTTAGAGAAAGGGAAAGAAAGAGAGAAAGAAAGAGAAACATGGATGTGAGAGAGAACATCAGTTGGTTGCTTTCTGTGCCCTGACCTAGAATCAAATGCACAGCCTTTCGCTATACTGTACAACGCTCCAACCAACTGAGCCACACTGGCCGGGGGTGGGGGGCATCACCTTTTAATTACTTTTCTGTGAGTACTATGCAGTTTGTAATGGAAAATTTCTCATGTTTTTATAAAGTCTTTATATAATTACACAATTTTATAGAAAAACATCCCAGTGAGCAGTTTAAATGTTTAAATTATTCTAGATTCTTTCCCAATCTTTGTTTATGTATGTGTATGTAATATATGAAATTGGTATGTCCGCTAACAACATGATATGTATTCTATTTATTAACATTATTAAAATAGTAAACTGTATTGCATTCACAGCACCTCTTGCTTATTAAATAAGTCTTCTCCCCTGAAATTAGGCAGTCCTGTTTTTTTTTAAATTTTATTTTTTTGTGTGTTTAATTTGAAATTCACAGCTCAACAAAAGGTATTTATACCATTTTCTCTTCATGGCATTTCCCTTCTATTGTGGATATTTGAGCCTTGTATAACAATTCTTTTTTTTTTTATCCTCACCCGAGGACATTTTTCCATTTTTTGTTCAGGTAGAGTGGGAGGGAGAGAGAGGAACACAGAGAGAGAGAGAGAAACATCGATGTGAAAGGAACACATCGAGTGGCTGCCACCCGCACAACCGACCAGGGCCGGGGACAAACTGCAACCGAGGTACACGCCCTTAGTGGGAACCGAACCCGGGTCTCTCAGGACCGCAGGCCGACGCTCTAACCGCTGAGCCAAACCGGCCAGGGCTGTATAACAATTCTTAAAAGCACCGTATCTATTTCTTTAGAATACATTGACTTTATGGCAGTTCAGAGAACCAGGAGAGAGATTTTACTGCTGATATTTGACTTTGAGAATGTTAAAAACAAACAAATAAACCCTTTGATGATATAGGTCATATTTATTTATTTTTATTTTTTATCCTCACCAGAGGACACTTTTCCATATTTTGTTCAGATAGAGTGGGAGGGAGAGAGAAACATCAACGTGAAAGGGACACATCGAGTCGTTGCCACGCGCACGACCCAACCAGGGCCGGGGACAGACTGCAGCTGAGGTACATGCCCTTAGTGGGAACCGAACCCGGGTCTCTGGACCGCAGGCCGATGCTCTAACCACTGAGCAAAACTGGCCTGGGCGATGTAGGTCATATTTAGGATTAGGCCATAAACATCTGCATTTCAACAGTTTGTCATATTTTGTGGTTTTCATTCTTGATTTTTTTAATGCATTAGTGGAAAGACTTTGACCTGTTGTTCTTTGTAAAGAACTTGGTAAATTACTTGATAATTCTTTGGTAAATTGGTAATTTACTGTGAGTGAGGGCTATAAGTCATAATTTCTGTTTAGAAGACTGTTTATTTTAGTTCATGATGTTGAAAGACCTGGTCAGATTACTGAAAGGCCTGTTTAGAAACGCTTGGACGGAGTCAGTCCCAAGTGTTTTTAATTGTTTCCTCCTCCACTAAACTTCAGAATTAGCAGCACTGCTTTTACAAATGGAAACATAACCAGTTTTTGCTTTGCTATAACTTGGAAATATATTTCCACTAGTACATTTGTCATTTGTTTTCATATAATGGGGCTATTTTCCAAATGAATAAATGTCATAGATACCTGAAATTTTTTGTTATTTGTTTCTAAAATGTATTTGAGTGTGCTTGCAATAAGCTTCACTGTGGGGTCACATGTAATTGTGTGCTTCTCAGGGTAATTAAACAGGCATCCTTTAAGTAGCATCTAACAACTAGACTGGGAATTGAACTGGTGACCTTTTGGTGCATGGGACGACAGGGCTGGAGAAGTATATTTTTAGACATCAACCCCACATTTAATTGTTAAATTAGAATTAAATAGTAATGTGAAAACAGCTGAATTTCCATTAAAGGGAAAAGTAATTTTATTTTATTTTTTAAAAATTCTCACCCAAGGATATTCCTCCACTTATCTTCAGACAGAGTGAGAGGGAGGCGGGGGGAGGAGAGAGAGAGAGAGAGAGAGAGAGAGAGAGAGAGAGAGAGAGAGAGAGTTGTGAGAGAGAAACACCGATTGGTTGCCTCCTACACGACC